CGTGGAGGCTGCTCACTGGCACCCAGAGACACCCGTGCCTGCAGATGGGGACTTGATTTTCTGCACACACCAGGATGTACAGAGGCAATGTCAATGTCATCAACAGGGGTGGGCCACCTGCCCAGGGCAGGGGCGAGCATGAGCAAGGAGAAGAAGAGAGGAAGATCCATCCCTACAGCAAATGCTTCAGGCGCCTCCACTTTACCACTGGCTGGACCTATCCCCCTCCAAACCAGAGCTGGCACCCAGTGACTCTCCCTGTCCCTGGTGGGTGTTTCCTCAGACGCTGGTCCTTACCATCGGCCAGGAACTCGCAGCTGCAGGAGGACACCCTGCCGGGCAGACAGGCTCCCTGCGCGCAGGACGCCAGCTCGATGTCATCCCCACTGTCCCTGGGGGCAGAGCACAGAGCAGACGGTCACACCCCAGCTGCCACGCTGCACAGACACACACGTGGCACCTCTGCTCCCAGGCGTGCGATGGGGACTCGACCAAAACCTGAAATTCCAGCCGGGATCAGGGAGCAGATCCCGATGCTCCTCGCTTCCCCCCCGGGGGGTTGTGATGGACACAAGCACCCACAGTGTCGAAAGGCAAAACAACACGGCTTTTTGGGGGTGAGAAACCAGAGCAGGAGGGATGGAACCCCTGAAAGCCCTCACTACATGGGTCATGCCATCTGGCCCTAGCTCCAGGATTTTGCTGCAACCTTGTTGGTTTAACTAGAAATCTGTTACTTTCACTTTCAGTGCTTGCTCTGCAAGACACCCATACACACACACTCACTCCTACCCTCAAATTCCACCCAAGGGTGCTTTCGCTTTCACCCCCCACAACACAAATTACCAACCCACAGGATTCACATCCCTCCAGGACTCCAGAACACCCAGCCCAGAGCGAGCCAGCGAGGGGGAACTGAGCGTGTGGGGACCAGCACAGCACAGCCCCCGCCGAGAGCACCCCCACTGCCCGAGCCCTGCCCGGGCACCTCAGCACCCTTCTTGCACAACCCCCTCACTTGCTCCATAGCCTATTTTTGTCCTGGCTGACGAGGAGAGCCTGGCACTGCCGGAGCTGCTGGCATCCCACCACTTGGCTGCTTAATGGTGGCCACGTGGGCGCAGGCAGCGGCTGCGTTAGCGGTAACGGCTCGCGAGGGAGCTGCTGAATTATTTAGTGGCCAGTAAATGAATCAGCCATGGGGAGTCATTCAGCTGCAGCCGCCTGAAAACAAGAAGGGAGGAAGAAAACCCAAACCAGCAGCACTTTGCAGAGAAGCAGTCGACGGGCTGGCAGAAGCGTCGGGAGCCGAGTGAGGATTCGCTCCTGGCACCGGGCACTGTGGCAGGGCATTAAACAGCTCGGTGTTATTGGCTCTGGAGTTCATTCTTGTTATTTGCTTTACAGTCACGTCCGGAGGCCCAAGGGGGACTGTGCTGGGTGCTGAGCAAACACAAAAGGTCGGGAGGCTGCCGGCAGGGGAGCGAGGGGCTGCTGGCGGAGTCGAGGCTCTGGCTGGAAAACCAGCCCCAAAACAGGCAGCAGGGAGAAAAGGGCCCGTGCCCAGCCTCACCTCCAGCCCCAGCTCTGCTACAGGCACCAGGGAGGAAAGGGCCCGTG